TTAAGGTCTGAGTGGTCTTGAATGTTTTCCTTTGTCTTCCCCCAAAAACTCATGTGTATTAGATCCTTTGAGGCTTCTGATAAGGAATTCCCAATGGGGTCTGGTCCCCTCCGTCTTCAGAGTTGATTTACATGATCCTGTGACTTTCAGGACAGTTCTGTCTTTTATGGCATGTGACTAGGGGTTCACATGAAGTTCTTTGAATCCTTTTTGAGCATCTGTGTCTGTCCATATCCTACAAAACTCAAGACTGCCATAGTATACATGGTCTTTACAAGTGCATGTAAACTTTGGTTCACAAGTTTATGTATATAAATTTGTTTTGTGAATTCACATTTCATCCTGCAGTCTGAAGTAGGACACTTTGAATGCAGTGTCACTGACTTGCACTGGGTCTGTAAGGAAAAGGCCAGCTTTAAGTACCACTTCTGCTCTTGGGGAGGACACATGGAGAGGATGGAAAGCAGACAGTACATGCCAGCAGGTCCCCTTATGGACCTCTCAGTCATCGCTGGGAAGGTCAGTGAAGTGTACCTGCAGCACTGGCTCTGCATAAGTAAGAGGACATGAAGGAAACACTTTCCTTGTATTAACTCTGTACATTTCTGACAGTTTCTTCTCACTGTATGCACCTGATGTGGATTCTGTGCAGAGGACGACCCTAAAATATTGGACAAGTTTGCCATCCTCCACATAGATGACTGTGGAGATGTTTTGGAAAAAGCGTCTGAGGTCACAGCATCACACGTCAAGTTAACTGAGCCAGTTCTCTCTCTCTCTCAAGAGTGGTCCTGATGAAAATGGGCTTCCTGTGAAAATCAAATGTAACATGTTAATGCATTATAAACCCAACACATGGTTCCTGAAGCTCCATGTCTTTGTGGTCCCTATTGATCCTGCTCTACAACAGGTTAGTGAATATCTTATATTTTCATTAACATGACCTTTTCTTCAAATGTATTTTTCCCATTCATGCTGTTGTAAAACAAAAAAAGAAATTTATTGGTCATAAATGTGCATCAAAAGACTTAGGACAACATTAGAGTAACCTTAAACCAGATTTGTGCTTATATTGTCTTATTTTGTTTGTGTGTGTTTGTTTTTATGCAGACAGTGGACAAAAAGAAAGTGTCCAGCGGATACAAAGAAATCACAAAGCCACGGCCGGACAAGCCCCTGAAAATGCAGCATGGTTTCAGCCTCACAGCTGGTATAGAGACAGCAAAAATTCAACCAAAGGTACAGTTATGAAATAAATGTACAGTATGTGTACAATATCTGACTTTTGTTAGATCTTGCAGGATCAAAGCAGTTGCTACAGAGTGTGTGTGGAACTGTGCATGCACAGGGCTACACTTTTTTCAAAAATGCTAAATAGACTGTTTTAGTGTTGGAATTGAACTCTGCTCTAAGTTTTTCTCTTGTGTCTGATGGAGTGTTAAAGCAAAATGTGACAGAGTTTAATGGAAACAGTCTTTGTGAATAAGTGCTGATGAGCATTAGACTAAAATGTCCATGTTAGTGAGGAGACTGTAGCCTTCTACAAACTCATACACAAATACCTGGAAACCAGGCTGCTGACAGATGGAGAGACTTTGCACCACATCTGTATCAAAGAGCTCCTTTTACTTTAAAGGATAAATGTTCATCAATGTCTGAATTTATGCTGCTGTTTTCTGAGTATTTTAGAAATCTTTGCTCTGCTGCACAACGCACACAAGAAAAGTGGCTACTTGGGATTTTTTTCCCATGCTGTCACATTTTTTTCATTCAGACCTTCATAACAGTAGTAAGTGTTGTTAAACAGCCTCCTGGTGGTAATTCATCCACCAGCGTGTGTTTTCTTTCAGTCTCAAGATTTAGACTGTAATCATCAGGCTGTAAACATCTGTGTCAGGTAATCTGATAATGTTGCATTATTCAGGACATATCAATGCCGTCATGACTGTTATGCAGATTATGAGTGCATTGTCTTATATGTTACTGTGCTAGAAGACAAGTTTATTCACTATCAGAAGTCTCACATTAACAAAGCATTAACAAAACGCAGCAGCTGTTTTTGTACTGTCAGAATAGCTTGTCATCTTAGAACTGCTTCTGCTGATGTATTCCCACCAGAATAAAAATGATGTTATTCTACCGAAAGATTCATAAGTCAGCTTTGATCCAAGAAAACATCTGAAATTATAAATGACTGTATCTCATGGTCAGGGGGGAAATATGGTGGAGGGGCTTCTTACCCTGGTTTACCCTACATTTGTTTGAACAGTTCAAAAATATGTCAAAATCTAGTAAGAAAGACTTCTTGGTCACTCACTAGCTACTTTTGGTGTTTACACAGTTCAATGTTTACAGCAGTGAGACCAATTGTCCAGCAGGACAACTTCACCACAGCTTCAATCACTAGTCAACCCAGTTTGATCTCTGTCTTCTTTTTTACTAGTTTATGACTGAACCTGACGAACTCTTCTCCCTTTAATGTTTTATTTTTACACAGAAAATAACCCTCCGTTATGATGGCCAAGACCCAAACTTCATGAAGTGTTCATTGAGAAACCAGACAGAGAGTTTAACATGACACTACACACTTCCTACAAGAAGAGTGAAGCAGTTTGGACCTGTGAAATTCGAAGAGGTCAGTGATTATTGAATTTATCATTTTTACGACACTTAGATGTTTCAGATCATCAAAAGCAAATAAGTACAGGGAAAAGCTGAAAAATATTAACAAAAACAGGGATACTCACAAAAGCAAAACTAGAGGGGGAAAGGCAGGTAGGCTACAGGTTGGAGTCTGGTGGCAGGAGAAAGCTGGCTTGGTGAATGCAGGCTGAAGACAAGTTGATAGATGGCTATGATACAGGTAAATGAGATGACAACCTGGCGCAGAGTGAAGGGAAGAGCTGGTCTTTATGGGAAGGAGGTGACTGGGAGCAGGTGAGTCCGGAGATGCAGCTGTGGGTGATTGTGGTTGATTGAGGGCTGAGAGGCAGAGAGAGAGAGAGAGAGAGAGAGAGAGAGAGAGAGAGACAGACAGACAGACAGACAGACAGACAGAGGGGCCCAGGCTGGGTGAGGGAGAGAGGAAGAGAAAAAAGGAGCCAGGCTGGGGCTGAACAGGAATCCTGACAGAAGCTTCATCCTTCTGCAAAGTATGTATTATGTGGTTTGAAGATATGAAACTGTAGCCTGATATTTTTAGTTGAATTATGACAAACCTGAGTAAAACTGGAAAAGTCATCAATGTTCATAATGAAATGTAAACTTTTCAGACACCTTAGAACCAAACGAGCAGTAAGGGGAACGATGTTAAACCAAGAAGAGCAAGTGGAGGTCAAATTCAGTAAAATAAGACAGTTGGCGTCTATGTTTGATGTTTCAGAAATCAAATGTATGACAGAAAGCCGTTTGCTCATCGCGTTCATGACAACAAGGGCAATTTCATATTTCCATACATTCTTACAGCTGCCGGATCTTTGAGTAGAGCGACTGGCGTCAGCGCTGTGGCTGATGGTAAGTTCACAGGAATTCATGCTGCTGTCTTCTCACTGAATGAGTTTAAAGAAACCACAACAGGCTGAACTTGATCAAGTGTCAGAAAAGTTACAAGTTGTTTAGAGGTGACATGTGTTTAACTGGCCACATTTTCTGCCTGGTAAGACTCCTGCTGCTGTTTTACTCACCTTCCCATGAGCGCAGAGGAACAAGCACAACACAAACCAGCTTCACTGCTCACTTTGGGATCAAATATTTTGTATTAGAAATCTGTTGGACTGAAGAGGGTCATTAAGTTCTTTCCTCTCTCCTCAGAGAAACACCGTTTGTTTGCTTTGAATTCATCAGGCAGCAACAATCACATCAGACAGAGAAAGGATTCTGAAAATGCTGGTACATCTGAAAGAGTCAGAGTTGAAAGAGTTCAAGTGGAGCCTGGAGGACAGAAGCTTCATGTCAGGCCTCCCATACATCCCCAGATGTAACCTGGAGAAGGCTGACATGTTCAACCTGGTGGATCTGATGATTCAGACCTACAGGCAACAGTCTGTGGAGGTGACCAAGAAGCTTTTCAAGAAAATCAACAGGAATGATCTGGTGCTGATGCTGTCTGACACCAGCTCATGATGCAAGGGTAGGCAGTGATAGAAACAAACAGAAATCTGTTAAACACATGGTAGTGGCGTATGTAGTTGACTGATTTCAGATGGTTTTGGACTGGTTTTGAAATAGATTTTGGACTGGTTTGGACTGGTGTTATGGTCCCTGGTAGTTGGACTCCCTTAGCTTTTGTGGCGGACTTTTGTGGCCTCTGTGTGAGGAGATGGCTTGTGTGAACTTAGTTCTAGCCCCCTGGTGCCGGCTATCTCTGCTGACTAGCCTGGAACTCCAGACCTGCACTCCAGCCTTTGTCCTTCTCCCCGCCTACCAACCTGGCTGATTGGGCCACCACCCAGTTTCCTCCTCCAACCAGACTGCAGCAAAAACCACACCTTGACATAAATCTGCAGCCAACCTCACAGTTCAGGTGGCTGTGACTAAATGTGAGCAGTTGGCTTGTTGCCTCTCGTGTTTTTGTGTTCTGTGTAAATATGTAACTTCTGTTAGTAGCTGTTTAACGTTCTTAGAAGTTACTTGTTTTCTGGATCCTGTAGCAATTTAAAAACAGTTTCTACTTTTGAGGTACTCGTTAGCGTGTCTTAATGTTACTAGTCACACACAATTGTTACAGAAATTATACACACTGATGTATTTTCTTTTTATCAAGTTTGCTGATAGATCTCAGGAAACATGTTTAACATTTTCATGAAAAATAAATATTTTTTACTGAATAAAGCCAAAACATCACCACAGCAGGGTCAGTATTCATGTGACTCTTACTGCAGTAACTCAACCCAGGTTTTGTGAATGTGTGGTATTCACACATGAAAAAAGTAAAATTACTTACATTTTATTTATATAGCACCAGATCATAAGATAAAGCTACTTTTGACCACTTTAGTCCAAGAATTCTGTGCATTTTTTTAATAAAGTATACTCTTATAACACTAGCTTTAACCATAAAGAGATGCAAAATGATACAAAACATCTGCAAAATTCACAGAAAGAGACAGACAACAACTAAAATGAGATGCAAAAGACAATGTAAAGACATGTACCACATGACCACAGAGAGACTAAATGGCAGCAAAAAAGATGTAAAATTACCAAAATGAAATGCAAAATGTGACACATAAGAGATGCAAAAGAAGCCAGTTCATAACATAAGTCATCTCAGGTGACTTCACATAGTGAGGTGAAGACTTTACAACATTCGATTATAGAGAAAACCCCAGTACATCTAAACAGCTGCCTTTGATCAGCTCCATGACAGCAGTGGGAATTAAAAAAAAAACATATGTTTTTAATATATATGATTATTTTTTATTTTTATGTTTTTGCAATGAATTGATGGTGGAGGAATCACTGCAAATCCTGAAGTTCAGAAAAATACACATCTTTCACTGATCCAACTGAATGATCTGCTCTAACAGGCTCTGCATAATCCACTCTATTGTCAATATTAGTGTTGCCTTGTTTTATATTACAGTGAGTACTGTACAGTGAGCATTACAGTTTGCAGTAACACCACAACTACTACTCTTGTATTTCAGCATAGTCAGCACTGTTGTCAGCATCTTTCATATCTCTGAACTTACTTTTCTGTCTCAGATCACAGAGAAAAGTGAACATAATTCAATTTTTATCAGACTTTAACATTTAAAAGTAGAACACATCACTTTCCATCGACCTGAAAAACCAAGAAACTGTCAGATTCTGACTTTAAATGTGGAAAAATTCACCACAAGTCAAAACTGCAGGAAAAGAGTTTTACAGCATCGGAGGTAGCAAGAACAATATTCGTCAAAGCATACGTTTTTATGTGTTGTAAGTTTTACCCATGTAAGTACTTGACAGCTACTGACACACGTGATCAGTGCTCATTTTGTTGTAGTTTACTATATTTCAGAAAATCATGGGCCAAAATAATAGAAAGAAATAATAGAAAAAAATAATCTGTATCTTAAAACATTAAACAATGAGGCAGGTTGTTGGTTGTAAATATTATGTAAGTTCTGAGCGTTCTGGGATTATTGACACAGATGTTTAAACATGTGATTACTGTTTTTTTTTTTGTCGGTAACTACATCTGAAAGTTTGATCTTTGTGCAGTAGGAATAAAAATTTTAATTAAACCTGTTTTCGTTTTGACTATAGCAGAAAAGAGTGTTTGTAAAATAAAATGTGATGGAACTAGGCAGGTTGCTGTAGTAGAAACAGGAAATATTGCTTCTAATTTAATGTAGAAGAAGTACAATATCTCCATCTGAAATGCAGTTGAGCAAATGATTATATTTTTATTAGGGCTTGACCCTTATGTCTTTTTTAGGCCAGTGCCGATTCCATTCTGATATTTGGCCAAAAAAAATAATTTAAAATTAAAAATAAAAAATCTGGTAACCGATTAATCGGCCTATTAATATAAAAAAAATATCTAATGAATAAAATAGCTTCTTTTTTGGTCCTGTAACACAAACAAAGATATGAATCACAGGCAGAACATTTTAGTTTTCTGAACAGATATGTCTGTAATGTGGGGTGCTTTATTTTAAATTGGCATTGTGCATTTGTCTTTATGTGGAGCATGCATGAATATAGCTACCAGTTGTACTGATGGATTTATCTTTAGATTTAGATTAGAAGTGTATGCTGTATAAAAGCAGCATAATGAGTTAAGTTACTGGCAGAACATTATTAATGCAGCCCTCAGATGCATTACTTACTTCATTATTTTCTTTGCCATGAAGTCATGACTCATATGAACCAAAATAAAAACCAGAGACGCCTTTCTCAGATGTCAAAACATGACATCCTTGACAGAGTTGCATTTTAAATATATAATGGTCACAAATAGTCCGACACTAATGTTATTCCATAACAACAGGCAGTGAGTTGCTGTTACAGCCTGTGTCACGTGATAGTATTGTCTGACAAAGTATCTCTATCTATCTATCTATCTATCTATCTATCTATCTATCTATCTATCTATCTCCCCTCTGCTCCTCCTTAATGCGCCTCAACACGCAGCTGACGGAGTGATGAACGGTCGTTCTGTACCCTCAAAGATTGTTAATAAAAATATAAGTTAAATAAGTTAGTTAAAAGTTGGATAAAAAGTTTAAAAGCTGTTTTCTGCAGTTCTCTGAAAACCCGTCAGAGTGAGGCTCTATGCGCTGTTTTGGTTCAGAGTGAGTGATCTTACTGCTGAATGTTCGGAAACTATCTTAACTCTTCGTCATCTCCGTGAGGCAAGTTTTATTTGTCTACAACAAGCAGCAGCAAAAACGGAGCGTTTCGTGGTGTTTTTACACGCTTTTACCTTGGAGAATATTTGTCTTTGTACAAAATCAAAATTGTACAAAATGAATGTACGAAAGCTACCAAAGACCAGTAAACCTCAAGAAAGGAAAGCCTTTGTGTGATTATTAAGGAAGCTTTGGGATGTTAACTGGCTTTCCAGTAGTGTGAGAGAATGGGCTGTGTCTGCAGAGCCAGAGAGAAAGAGGCTGCACTCTCAGGACCGTAGCTTCTTCAACGGCAGCACGTCGAGAGCCTTTTTTTTTCTCTCAAGACAGCGCCACCTACCACAATGAATGTGTGTGTGTGTGTGTGTGTGTGTGTGTGTTATTGCTTCTATTATTTTTATTTAATGTTATTGTATAAGATAAATAAACACATAATTCTGCCTTCAGAGTTGTCTCTTTTCAACCTTTCAGACTGTCCTGTTTGAGATCTACAGACCACAGAGGCCACAGCAGTAGATTCCATTATAATTTCATCTGTTAATAAGTATGGCAATTACACCATTTGCCCAAATGTGAGTCTCAGCAACCAAGCTCTTATCATTGTAATGAGTTGTATTTTGGGTGGAATAAACCGTTCAAACCTTAACTTGTTTGTTAAAAAGTACTATTTGAATGAAAAAAAAACACTTTAAAATTATAAACACTTGGAGACGAAGCAGTACTTTGTGTCAAATTGTCATTGGATCAACCTTTTAAATTATACCTGTATTTTGAGAGAAATCACCCTTTAGAACTAAATGGCGCATTTTGGCGATCATTCATTGTGGTAGGTGGTGCTGTCTTGAAAAAAAAGGCTCTCAACGTGCAGCCGTAGAAGAAGCTGTGGCCCTGAGAGTGCAGCCTCTGGCTCTGCATACAGATACTATTGGTGTAAGGTCTACGCAGTGTGAGGGCAGCACATGAACACTGACGTTATTTCTACAGTTACTTACTGGCTTTTAAGCTGTTTGGTAACGCTATGCTAGGTTGACATAACTACAGCGATGTTATTGCTAACATAAACAGACAGGGAGTAACTTAGGCTAGGTTAGCACAACTTTAGCAATGCAACAGAAGTGAAAAGCATGACTGATGCAACGAAGCATGCATCAGTCGTCATGACACGTGGCAAAGAGAGTTCAAGTGAAACAGGAGACATTGAGTCATTGTTAATGTCACAACGTTGTTATGAACTTATCTGTCAGTAGCTCCACTCAGCCCACTCCTGTGATGTTGCCTGGCTATAGCTTACTCCTGTACTACTGAGAAGACAGCGGTGAGGACTGAAGGACTGAATGGAGTCAGAGCTAGAGCTGCTAGACAGTCTTCGACTCTATTGCTGCTGCATCTCTCAGCTGCCTTTGACACAGTTAACCACCACATCCTCCTCTCCTCACTCAGCTGGGCATCTCAGGATCTACCCTCCGCTGGTTTGTGTCCTACCTCTCAGGAAGATACTTCAGAGTATCCTGGAGGGGAGATGTGTCCGAACCACACAGCCTATCCACAGGGGTTCCTCAAGGGTCAGTGTTTGGTCCCCTTCTCAATTTACACAACCTCACTCGGTGCAATAATTCAAGCCCATGGTTTCTCATACCATTGCTATGCTGATGATACCCAGCTCTTCCTGTCTTTCCCCCCTGATGACCACACTGTCTCTGCCTGGATCTCATCATGCCTTGCAGACATCTCAGCATAGATGAAAAAACGTCAACTTCAACTCAACCTCTAGACTGAACTCCTTGTCATCCCAGCCAGTCCCTCTTTACAACAAGAAATCAACATCCAGCTTGATTCAACCCAACTCAAACCTACAAAATCTCCTAGAAACTTGGGTGTAATGATTGATGACCAACTAACCTTTAAGGTTCATGTGGCCTCTGTTGCTCGGTCATGTCGATTCACTCTGTACAACATCAGGAAGATCACACCTTTCCTGTCTGAACATGCAGCACAACTCCTGGTACAAGCTCTAACAATATCACACATTGCCTACTGCAACTCCATACTGGCAGGCCTTCCCGCATCCACGGTCAAACCTCTGCAGATGATCCAGAATGCAGCAGCACATCTGGTTTTCAACAAGCCAAAAACAGCACGTCACCCCGCTGTTCAGATCACTTCACTGGCTTCCAGTTGCTGCCCACATCAAATTCAAAACCCTGACACTTGCTTACAAAACCACAACGAGAACAGCTCCCTCCTACCTGAACTCTCTTATTCAACTTTTGAACTTTTTTAAAGTTACATTTTAGTCTCACAGCTGTAAGTGATGAGGACCAGAAGCTTCTCTGTGCATGGTGGCTTAACTAGCTTCTTCTGCAGCCTGCATGTGAGGCGTTTAGGGAACATCTGTAAATTGTGGCGTCTACTGAGAAGCACATGTTCAGCAAATTTGGGTTAAATTTGATTTATATTCTGCCTGTAGGAGTTGCACTGAAATCCAGTGAACAGTAACCTTATTTTAAGTTGAATTTAAGATTATGATGTAAATGTTGCTGAATATAATCAGGATTATATCTTACATATATCCTCAGTGAGATGTATGGAAATATTTCAGCAGCAAAAAAGACGAAGCAACACAACTGATTAGTTTGACCATCTAAACCAGCAGCACAAAGCTGCAGAGATCTGAATGTCATCCAAGGCAAAAACAATATTTTGATGTCTTTGCTGGAGTTTCACCACATGAGGAAGGTTCCAAAGTCAGCTTTTAGCTTTTTTAAAGATTAGTTTACATTTTGATTGCAGATGCACTCTGATACAAAATCACCCGCATCAGTCCAGAGTGATTGATTCTTTGGAATTACAATTAACTGAAGTTATCTGATGAAAATTCTTGTTTTTTTTTCCATGTCACAGAAAATCAAAACATCACAACTTCAGTGTTTTTCCAATATTGTGCAGACCTAGCTCTGATCTGGTGATTAAGAGTTTAAATATGAAACGGTTATTTTAACATTGCAATAAATTAAAGCTGATTTTGTGTAACCATTGAATTAAAGCTGCACAGTTAAAGATGAGAGAAGGAGTGAAAATGTCAAGAGAGCAAGAAAGGTTAGTGTCCCTAAAACAGCTTATGTCTGGACATGTCATGTCTGTGGCCACTGTCCACAGGATGTTCGCAGAATGAACTCATTGCTAAAGCAGTTAATGGTTCCTCTTTTTACCCTCATGTATCCTGTGATTGGCAAACTGTGCTCTTTGCTACTACCAAATGGGTGAATCAGATTCTAAAGGTATCACATATATGAGCTAAAGGTGAAGTGCCTATTAGAAATGTGTGCGTGTAATCAAGTGTATGTGCTAAGGATATAAACTGTATGGTAGCAGTAAACGTGTGGAGGGGGAGAGGTGAATACAATATTAAAAGGCATGACAAAGAGACTTCAGATGGAGTTCGTGGAGATTGCTTGTGGTGACTGCTTGCAATGGAGATTGTGGAGTTCTTCACGGGACATCGTTGGAGCTGAACACTCCTCCACCAGTTGAAGAAGTCCCGCTGCGTCTGCAAATTCTACTTAAGAGGAGCAGCATGACCCCTTTCTGTGTTCTGCATGAAGAAGTATTCTTTTCCTTCCCCAAACGGCTGCAAAAGAATTGCAGATCTGATCAGAGTTGGGACTTCTCATCATCGGGTATTGTCTGGGGATCAGGACTCTGTACTGGGTTGCTGTATCACTGGAAGAGGACTCCTCCAGGCTGAGCAGGGCTAAGTTAACCAGTCAAGGCCAGGCTGTTTGGCTCTCCCTCTCCCCAAATTATTTAATGGCTTGCTATTTTAGAAAAGCTCAGTTGTATAATTTTTTGTCAAATCAATTTGTTTAATCATATCTTGAAATGTTTTGAATGAATAATCAAGAGCTGTTGCTTTGCCCCTGCTAAAGGTTTGCGATAAATATTTAATCCTACATTTAAAGATTATTTGTTTTGAAATTTTCTTAGATTATTCACAGAATCTGATGGTAGTGAAAACGTAGTCAATTGTGTATATGAGATCTTTATAGTGGTTCTTAATGGTAATTCTAAGTCACGAGTAAAATAGTATTTTTAAACTTATCCCTGGGGTTAGTTTTGCCAAACCGCTAAATTTTAACCTTGCAAATCAGCAAGTGCTCAATCCATTTAAGAGGAAAGCTGCCACTAACAGGTGTGTCGAATAGAGTGATTTGACTACTGGGGCTACTTAGTTGGGTCAACTATTAGAAGAAGCGAGGCAGGCATCTGGATTAGGGCAGTTAGAAGCTAGGCGAATTTCCTCGACACCAGCTTAAGCAGTTCTACAGAATCCTAATAGGTCAAGGGCCTGTAGTCAGGTAGAACCTAACCCTAGAAATGGAGAGCTGGACCAGTAGCCCTGTTACAGGGGTTATACTGGCACGGATTAACATCTGGCAGCTGCATTTATGGACAAACAAATCCAACCTGTTACTTTTCAGTAAAAATGCTTCAGGAAGGATAAAAACTTGACTCTTCATACAGAATATTATTATTTGAGGCAGCTAGTACTCACCAGGAGAGAAAATGTGGCTGTCAGGTGGTTTTAAAGTCACAAAAACTAGATTTAGTCCAGCAATCTGACAGAGATTTTTACCTCTGAAATGATTCACATAGTCTTTGTGAATTCTGACTTGTTCATAGTGTGATCAGCTACTCAGCTCCTTCTTTGTAAACAAAATCCTATCTGTAACTTAAAACATAAAATTAGAAAGTTAAAAAGTTGAAGGTTAAAAATAGATGCTTCTAATTTAGAGGAGAAAAAGTTCATTACTTCCCTTTGAAATTAAGTTTATAGTGGTATGTATATAATTTTAATGTACAGGCACTTCAAAACTGTACTTAAATGCAGTATTTGAGTAGATATACTTTCCACCACTGAATAATTCACTACAGCGACTCACAGCACTGACAGTGTATTAATTCAGACTTTCTATGTCATGACAGCTTGATGTTAAATTCATCTTCATCCCTTCACATGTTGTTGTTTGCACATAAAATATGTAACTTTCAGACACTTTTTTTTAAGGTTCATACACGTAAAAACATGTAACAGTCCATAGCTTTTAAACCTTTGTTTTTATTGACATGCATAATATTGTAAAAAAAAAAAGTTTAAAAAACAACAGCAACAAAACAGCCCCAGTAATGCCACATGAACATCTACAAACCTCCTTTCTAGCAACAAACATCTTGACTGTAAAACATCCCTCGATAGAAAAATCTTTACTTTTAAAGACCAAAACAAAGATTAAAATGGACAGCAGCATATTCAGTTTAGTGCAGATTATTGGCAAACAGAGATGGTAAAGTAGAAGTGCATTTATTTTTAAGCAAAGCTCAGGAAAGTGTCAGAATGTGCAGACTGTACCATCTGACTGAGTGCTTCACTGACGCTGCAGTACAGAGTCAGTGGTATGAAGCTGCAGGATCCCAGTTCCTGCCGACATTCATGCTCCAGGATCAGTGGTGACTTCATCCAGCAGTGGTTTGAAGTACTCTGGCTCTTCAGCGCTCTAAAAGACACAAAGAACATGGAGAAAGTTCACAAAAAGATCAAATCAAATCATAAACCACATTGAATACACACAAACTCACAAACTGCTTTTCCTTATTTTCTAGAACAGAGTAGAGCAGAAAAAAACCAAACACATTAAAACTCTTAATTAGCATATTAGCACTGGATTAGATAGTCAAAAATAATGTGCAAACAAACCAACATATGTTTCCATTTTGGATTCTTTAAAGTCGCCACCTGGTGCTTCAATAAAACCTTCAGCTGTCATCATTCTCCAACCAGAACCAATATCATTGTGCTCTTTTTCTTCCTCTTTTGATGTGTTTCAGGATCACTTCATAGTCAGTGTGCATCTCTTAACAACTGTATGGTGTCTCTGTAGTGGGTTTGCAACCTTAACATTAATTTGTCTGTTTGTGGTCATTTAGCAATTCTTTTAACATCTTGGTTGTTTTCTGTCTCTTTGTGTTCTTTTTGTGTCTCTTTGCAGTCATTTTGTGTCTCTGTAGTCAGTTTGCAATTTCTACAATTGCCTTCTGCATGAATCAAATCAAAAATTCAAATTTCGTTCTACATTATAGAAAGTAGTAAAAATAAGGAAAAACCATTGAATGAGCAGGTGTGTGTATGTAAACTTTCAAAAGGTGCTGGTTTAATAGAAGTTGAATTACTTGAACGCTACTTTGCCTAAAAACTAATTTGTAACTAAATGGGTTGACATTTGTGGAAATGTACTCAGCTTAGCTTAGCGTAACATAAAGACTGGAGGCAGGAGAACCAGCTAGCTGACTCTATCCAAACATTGGACATCTTTCCCCCCAAAAAACTATTCCATTAACTGGTATTCACCCTAAAAAAACAACTTTTGTGTCAACTGGTCCCAAAAATATCAAAGTCCTGAAAAAACTTTCTCAAGAAACTATTTCCAGGATGTCAGCCGATTGGAAAGTGACATCCTGAATGAGATTTGAAGTTCAGAAACGTACACTGAAGGACTGAAAAATTGCACGTGTTCATCCAACATTTCCTGGTTAAATACCAGGTTTACAGACAGATGTATTGGTTTACACTCGACCTTGTTTGGTTCCTTCCATCTGCTGCTCAGAGCCTTGATCCCCAACACGGCAGAGCTGATGACGACGCAGAGCTCCAGGACCGACAAGACGATCAGGATGCCATTCATTCCTCTCAGCAGCATCTGGAGAAACACAAACAACAGCAGGGCTGCGCAGTTAAGGCCAAAGTGGTAATCACTGTTACTTTAATCAATACGAATTCATTCTAGGGACAGAATATTGTTGTTTCACAATAAACACAGCACTGCTCTCACTTTTATGTTGTGCTACACTCCTGCTAACGTACAAATCTTTGCACCAAAATAAGATTTAAAATAACCTTCATCTGAATTCACAGCATCTCTGAGAGGCAAAATATCATTAACTGTACCTATAACACCTCACTGGCTGAATTTCTGGTAATTTGGAGACACCACAATTTACTGATGTTCCCTAAATGCCTCACTTGCAGGCTGCAGTCAGCTGAGCGGCTGTGCACAGAGAAGCCTCTCCATCAGTTAGTGCAGCAGCTCAGATTAGTTTGAAGAGTCAAAGAAGATGTTCTAACGTCAGAATTAGCTGAAACCAACTGAATATATCTACATGGGCTGTTTTTTTAATTGCAGTTTTTATCGGATCTTTAAATTTCGAATGGGAGTTGACTTTCAGTGCATACATGAAGTGTCAGTGGTTTCAAATGGTAAAGCAAATGGAAAAGTGCTGTATTTTACAGATTGATTTATGATTTATAACGTAGCCTACTATTGGTCAAGGAAAGTTTGCAACTGTAATTTGAACATATTTTCATTTATTATAGATTCAACAATGATTAGCAGATTAAGTTCTTACGTGACTAATTTCCGTCAAACTTGGCTTCTTTCAACTACTACAAAGATTTTAGTACACATGATTGCACTATTTAGTTTCTCAATATTTAAATATTTCAAACTTTAATACTTTGGATTTCTGATGACTTTGTGTCAAAGACTCCACCCATATATGCTATAAAAAGTGACATTAAGTGACATAAAGTCTCCAATTATATTTTCTGGGTGTAATGAATGTAAAAGTTGTACAATAAAATTTTGCCTGCTGAAATAACCTTTTCCATACTTACCAGAGACAGTTCTTTGGCCTCCAAGCATCTTTCCCTCAGGAAGTCCCTTGTCGGAGATGGAGTTGTTGTATGATGTCTTTCGTACCAGTAGTCATCATCATGGTCACAATACCACCATAAATCTATGTGTGCTATGTTGATGCTGTAGAGGACAATGGCTGCAATGGCAAAAGCAACTCCTGCCAGATTCAGAACCACAGTGAGGATGACCTGAAACACAACAGTCATTACTTTATGCACAACCAGATATAAGTTAGACTTTCAGCATAAAATAAATATAATAAAAATGATAGAGCGAGCAGGTAGAGTGCTCTCAGTTCACTGTGGCCCATTGGGCCCGCTTAGGGCAATGTCTTGGCACCTCACCTCTTCAATGTGTATACTAACGACCAGCCCTTACCAGAAAGATGCAGCAGATTTATCTATGTAGATGAACCTAGAAATGGCAACGCAGCAGCATACCTTCCCAGAAGTTGAGTTGACTCTGGAACGAGGCCTCTCAGATAAGTCTGCATACTATCTGAAAAACCACCTTCGCCCAAGCCCTGGGAAAACTCAAATCTTCAGCTTTCACCTTAAAAAACAGGGAGGCCAATCGGGAGCTCAACATAACGTGGGACGGTATAAGATTCCAAAACCATCAGCACCCAGTCAATCGATACCCTCAGCTTCAAGGAACACATTCAGAAAAACGAGAGCCAAGGTTTCCACCTGGATTAACATCCTGCGAAAACTAACCAACTCTAAGTGGGGGGCTCACCCAAACACCCTACATCAGAACTAGGTTTGTGCTTCTCCACCACAGAGTATGTATGCCCAGCATGGTATAAATCATGCCATACTCAGACACTAGACCCTATCCTCAATGAGACCTGCAGGATAGTGACTGGGTGCATCAAAACAACCCCTGAAAACTGTCTTTATCCCCTAGAGCAGTCATAGCTAAAGCTGAGTGCACAAAGCTGGCCAATGACAACCGGTACTCACTCCATGAACACTGCACCCCCCAGAAACGACTCAGCTCCAGGAAGAGTTTCTTCAATACAACTGAGGAACTTGAGACTACACGAACCAACGCCAGAATCAACGTATGGCAAAACCAGCGGAACAGTTATGGCAGCCAGTCAACCCAATGCAAAGCAAGAGGTATCACCCCAAATGAATGCCTTGCTACTGGCCACAAACAACTTTGGGCTGTCTGAAAGGCACTGAACCGTCTGCGGGTTGGTGAAGGATGCTCTAAAGTGTCCATGAAGATACGGAAAATGTTAAGCACTGATGCTTGTGTGTGCGATGAGTCCTAGAGTATGGAACATCTCATGAGATGTAGTAGTGCTCCACAATGTACTGGAGATGACTTAGCCATATCAAATGCCACTGCAATCGGCTGTGCCCACCACTGGAAGGATGTGATATAGAATCAGAATCCATTTTATTGTCATTGTACAATGTAAAATGAAATTGCACATGATTTTGCCCCTTATATACAAATAATAGTAATATGTACACAGAGTGATATGTCCAGAAAATATAACAATATAAATAGGTAGTGTGGACTGATAGAAGATGGACAGACACGAGGAAGAAGAACTGTGGCCCATTAAGTTCATCTGCAGATAATGTGCAGATTTCTTTCTCCTGATTTGACCAATAAGTGTTTCATATTGTTGAAGATGGCCCTGGTGAGTGCGCCAGCCATCGTACCTGCTCTGGCACCATTGCAACTTTTTCCATCCATCCATCCATCTTCTCCCGCTTATCCGGAGTCGGGTCGCGGAGGCAGCAGCCTTAGCAAAGCCGCCCAGACTTCCCGATCCACACACACCTCCTCCAGCTCTTCCGGGGGGACCAGTAGGCGTTCCCAGGCCAACTGGGAGACATAGTCCCTCCAGCGTGTCCTGGGTCTTCCCCGAGGTCTCTTCCCGGTGGGACGCGCCTGGAACACCTCCCCAGGGAGGCGTCCAGGAGGCATCTGGAAAAGATGCCCGAGCCACCTCAACTGTCTCCTTTCAATGTGGAGGAGCAGCGGCTCTACTCCGAGCTCCTCCCGTGTGACTGAGCTCCTCACCCTATCTCTAAGGGAGCGCCCAGCCACCCTGCGGAGGAAACTCATTTCGGCCGCTTGTATCCGTGATCTCATTCTTTCGGTCATTACCCAGATCTCATGACCATAGGTGAGGGTTGGGACGGTTGCAAGGTTGGGACGGGACGTTGCAACTTTTTTATTGTTTAAATTTATCTTTTGCTTTTATTTACCTTTTTGCACAGCATTCACCATGCTGTGCCCTGTTGTATCAAATACGACAGAGACACACTTTTGAACATTGGCTTATTACCACAGCGAGATCCTGCGGGGGCCCTCAACAACAATGACACAGGACACCGGCAGCGTAACAGGCCCCGGGGGAAATGAGACGGCATTAGGAACAGGTTGAGGCTATAAGCACACAAACCACCACTGCCTAGCATCCTGCTCGCGAACGTCCAGTCCCTGGACAACAAGCTGGACGAGCTCAGAGCCAGAAGCAGGTACCATATGGACACGAGACCGCAACATCATCTGCCTGACGGAGACATGGCTGACCCCCACCATACCAGACCATGCCGTTCAAACAGTGGAGTTCTTCACAGTTCATCGTATGAACAGAACGGCTGAGTCGGGGGAGTCTAGAGGGGGGTGTTTGTCTCATGAGCAACAAGTCCTGCTCGCCCTACCTGGAACTGTTAACCATCAAATGCCGACCTTTCTACCTGCCCCGGGAATTCACCTCCATCATTTCCAGCGCCGTCTACATCAGTGGCATCATTAGGCCTATTTTAGGGAGGCTTCAGCCCCCCTAAAATATTCTTAAGCCCCCCTAAATAATTTTATGTTCATTTATTAACTTTTTTTTTTGTTTTGTTTTTTTTACAAAAAAGTCAAAAAAGACTCACTACCGGAGACATGGGACTGTACCGGGCCGCTTCGTACAGCGTCCGCAGAGCCGTGAGGGTGGCCAAGCTGAGGTATGGGGAGAAGCTGGAGTCACAGCTGCAGCAGAGGGACATCAGGGGACTGTGGCAGGGACTACGAACAATAATGGAATACAAAGCAACACCAACTCCCATGATGAGTGCTGGCATCTCTCTGGCCGAAGAACTCAACAACTTTTATGCGCGCTTCGAGGCTCCCAGCCAAGAGGCGCGCATCCTGCCTGACAGACAGGAGGAGATGCGCACCGTGATGGAGCATGACTTAAGGCGAGTCTTTCAACACGTGAATACCAGGAAAGCTGCAGGACCTGACGGTATAACAGGCCGTGTCCTGAAAACCTGTGCCAACCAGCTTGCATCTGTGTTCACAGAAATATTCAACCTCTCGCTCTCCCAGTGCATCATCCCCAGGTTCTTCAAACAGTCTGTGAATGTTCCTGTACCCAAGAAAGCCAAGCCCAGCTGTCTTAATGACTACCGGTCTATTGCTCTTACCTCTGTGGTGATGAAATGCTTTGAAAGACTGGTCAGAAATTTCATCACCTCCTCCCAACCTGCCGTCCTGGACCCCCTACAGGTCACATACCGGCCAAGCAGTTCTACAGACAATGCCATAAATCACCTGCTACACACAGCCCTGGCCCACCTGGACACTAGGAAGGGGAATTATGTGTGAATGCTGTTTGTGGACTTCGGTTCAGCGTTCAACACCATAATCCCCTCCAGACTGATCACTAAGCTGCAGGACCTCAGACTCACCTCCTCCCTGTACAGGTAGGTCTACAGCTTTTTGACCAGCAGAACACAGGTGGTTCGAGTGGGGAATCGTCTGTCCCCTCATGCACCCTGAACATCAGTGCCCCCTAGGGCTGTGTGCTGAGCCCTCTGCTGTACTCACTGTACACCAATGACTGCCTGTCCACATCAGACTCTAACACAATCATTAAGTTTGCTGATGACACAGCAGTGGTGGGTCTGATCTCCAACAACAACGAGGAGGACTATTTAATGGAGATCACTCACCTGGAGGACTGGTGCAGAGACAACAGCCTCCTCCTGAACGTCAGCAATACTAAAGATCTGATTGTGGACTACAGCAAGAAGCAGCAGAGGGCATACCACCCACTCAGGATCAGCAGGACAGAGGTGGAGCAAGTGGAGAGCTTCAAATACCTGGGTGTTAACATCACACAGGACCTGACGTGGTCCTGTCACACCAACACCCTGGTGAAGAAGGCTCAACAGCGTCTCTGCCTATTCCAACGCCTGAGTGACTTTAAGCTCCCTCTCAAGGTGCTCAGGAACTTTTAAACCTGCACCATTGAGAGTGTTTTGGCTGGGAGTATCACCACTTGGATGGGCAGCAGCAGGACTTCTTGGCCCTGAGGAGGGTGGCCCGCTCAGCTAAGCGCACCGTCAGAACCACCCTCCCCAACCTGAAGGACATTTACACCAAACTATGCAGGTTAAAGGCCAGGAATTTATGTATTTATTTATGTAGTTTATTTATTTCTCCCTCTCTCTCTCTCTCTCAGAGTGCATGCTGGGAGTGAGGAAGTGCTGGGAGCGTGTGAGCGGGTGGCGTTTGTCACGTTTCTTTTGAGTTTTTCTTTTTGTTTATTTAAGTGTTTATGTTCACAATCACAATAGTTTATTAATCACAAAGCACATTTGTTTATTTCTTTCTGTTTTGGATTTTCTTTTGGTGGGTTTACGCGGTCCCTGTTTGCTGGTGCCTGGCAGCAGCCATGGCAGAGCTGAGGCAGCTCACCCGCAATCACATGGGATCCGCATTGCTGCACCTTTCCCCTGCAGCGTGGAGCAGGTCGGGCTGGCTGTGGGGGAAAAGGTCGGTCACAGCAGCGTGAAGTCGGCGGCCAGGATGAACAGTGCCGTGGTGATTTTCCTGGACCAGGTGGAGAAGGCCAACTCCGTTGTAGAAGCGGGGATCACCGTGCTGGACAGGTCCGTCCCGGTACAGCCTCTGTCCCAGTCGGCTGTCCGGGTCGTCCTGTCCAATGTCCCTCCTTTTGTGTCAGATGAGTTTCTGACCAAGGAGCTTTCCAGATATGGCAAGGTGGTCTCTCCCATCAAAAAGATCCTGTCTGGATGTAAGTATCCGCTGTTGAAACACGTGGTGTCTCACAGAAGACAAGTCTTCATGATACTCAATACCGGAGTGAGGAACTCAGCCTCAGCTTCCGTGTGAGAGTAGATGATTATGACTACGTGGTTTT